CAGCCTAGGCGCACCGGCTCGCAAGATATTGTCCACGGCACTCAATCGGGCCTTTCCATGGTTTTGTTCCTCCCCACCCCTGCGAGGAAAACACGTCTTGCAAGGGGAAGGTATCCACACACCTATAAGGCATGCTTCGTTCACCTCCCCAACCGATGTGGGATCTCACAAATTCTTTGTGCTACATTATTTATTACTAGATTAAAAAGTGCATAGAACAAATTATTTTATTCTTGAAAGTGCCTCTTTGAAGTGAGATCATTTTTGTACATGAGTGGTAGCTAATCCTACTTAAGAGGAATTGTTACATTTCTGCTTCATCTTCATTACTATTTGTATTGGTGTTTGAAACTCACCGAATCAAAGGTTTTGTAATTGGGATTTTTTACCTTTGCCAAGTGAAAGGGATTTTGTTTGTACTCAGGATTTCTTACCTCCATCAAATGTAAGAGAATTAGTGGAATCTCAGCCGGTTGGAGCTCGAGAGAGTGGACGTAGACTTGGGTAGCAAGGCAAACAATTATAAAAGAGTTTATATCTTCTATCCCTACTCTCTTTACTTTACTTAAAATTATTTTATATTTATTATTGGGTGAATTGTATAAGTTTATTTGATTCAATATTTTTATTATTTTTAATTTTTCACACTCTTAACTTTCGCGATAAAAACCCTATTCACCCCCCTCTTGAGTTGCCTTTTGGGACAACATTTTAGGCTTACTTGAGCCATATTCTTCCATTTTCTTATTAAATGACTTTAACCACTCTTTAAGCTATTGATTAGCCTTAGTTTAGTGCCTTATTAAACCCCTTAAAAGCCACCAACCATTTGCTTAAGATGCTGAAATTCGATGCAGAAAATTTTTGCACTACACTCCCTCATTTTCCTACTTGGTTTGCATATACTAGGCCTTAAATTGGTTCCCTAGCCAACCCCCCTTTCTAGTCTAGCTTTCCATCTCTCTAACCACTTCTGTTGGCTTGCATTAGCTCTATTTCAAGCCCTGATTTTGTGATCTACATGCATAAACATTGCAAAAATTTTCTGAAATCTTACCTTCAGTATCATTTTTGGTGTCACTCACCTATTGTCAAGACTTTGGTTTTCTTTCTTTATATCCTTTTTTATTTGACTAAACTATTTCCTAATACACTCATTAGCATTGAAGTTGAGCAAAAACCAGTAGTCCCATTTCTTGCACTAACAAGTTCAGCCAACTTAGGGTTTTCTACAGAAAATTTTTAGCAAGCATATAACCATGGTTTTATTTTGTGTTTTGGTCCCCTTTTCTTGTTTTTCTTTCAATTCTCCCCTTCTTGCTCCCATGTGATTCATCCCTTCTTCGACCCAGATTTCATCTTCATAAAGAAAGTATATATTCACAACAAATCACGGGAACACCATAGTTTCAAAGGAACACATGCTTCTCACAAATATAAAACAAAAACAACTAAAGAGGTTTACTCTATCTCTAAAATTTCAGCCAACGTATTCCCATTTTCAGTATCAAAACCTCCTTCAAATCCTTTGTTTCTTCAAGTAAATGATAGTAGAGTAGATAAAGAATCAAAAACTACAAGTTTTCTAATACAAAATTAGAAGTTTCTAGAAAAATCTGGAGTTTTCCTTACTTTTTTAGCTTTTCTTTTTCTTTCTTCCTTTCTTTTTCCCTTACTCTCTCCTTTCTCTAGCTTGCACAAAATTATGGGGAAAAATCTGGAACAAAAGGGCTTAAATACCCCCCCCCCCCCGCCATAAGTCAGCATAAGCCCCTGCCAAAAAGACTAAAATGCCCCTCACCTTTCACCTTATTTACTTTTATGTCCTACTTAAGTAAAATTCCACTTTTAACCCTAAAAAATATTTCTAATTCCCCTCTAATCTCCCTAAACTTAAGGTCTTGATTAGGTTTAGTCACTATTAATTTTTCATAATTTTATTCATTTTAGTTTTTACAATTTTTATTTTTATATTAACTTGCATAAGTTATGGTTTTTTATTTCTAACTTCAATTTTCTTTCCAATTTTCTTTCACTATCCTATAAATCTCACCTTCTCATAATTTTTAAGGTTTCTTTAAACTTTTCTAAGATTGTGGACAAGCAAAAATAAAATTAATTTTCCTCAATTTTAATTTTCTCAAAATATGCATGTTAAGAATGTACTGTATGTTACATATGAAAATGTGTGAATGTGTAATACATGTTTGAGTGCCAATGTTGTGCATTCCAACCTTGGATTGGAATGTCACAATTCAACCCCATAAACTTACAATCTATGTATACCAAGCCGCCAAAACCTGTCAATTTCACATCCTCCTTCTGATCATGGGTTAGTTTTGTAACTAATTGTTGAATTTATAGAGAGAACACCCTATAAGAATAATACCCTATTATAAAATACAAATCAAACATTTAGTACAACTTCACTGAAACATGATTGTAGAAAAAAAAGATCAATAATTTTAAAACAATAGATATATGATTATAAAAAGACAAATGACTCATTGCAAACAAACATATGTACTCTTGCAAAGAAATAGGTACATGATTGAAATTTAAAAATAATGTAAAATATATGAAGAAAAAAGTAAACAAACTTACAATAGGTCCTCTTTTGTAGCAAGCAAATTGGGTGGGATGCCAAGCTTCTTCATCTTAACTTTCTACTTCTTTTTCATAATTGTCATATATTGTTCCTTCTTATTGGAGGACAAAAGTATTCCATGCATTGAGCATGGCACGATACCTAAGTCTAACAAAATCAAATCCAATTTTTTCTTTATTTTCATTTATGAACTATTGTCTGAAAAGATCCAAACCGATTACCTATTTAACTTTGCCAGAAGAACTACTAGTAGCATTCCATGCCTTGAGCATGGCATGGTGTCATGTTGTATTGCAAAAATTAGATAGAGCATTGTCAGCACACAACAATGATTGTAAGAAAATAGATTGGTGATTATAATAAACAGTTGCATAATTGTAAAAATTCGTATGAATAATTGTACTAAAACAACTGCACAATTATAAAAGTTTGTATAAATGATTGTAAAAAATCAAGTGCGTGATTGTAAGAGACAAAATATTAAAGTATGCATGAATAAAAACATATTAAAACCATGGCTAAGAAAACAAATAGGAAATCATAAAAAATAGGTTTGTGGTTGTGACAAAACTACAAAATCATGACAAACATATTGGTGATTGTAAAGAAAAAGCTGCATAATTGTAAATTTTCATATGTTTGATTAAAAAAAAAAGGTATGTGCTTGTAAGAGTACTAATGAATGCATTAGTATATACCATATTAGTGATTGTAAAAAGAAAACTAGATAATCATAAGGAAACAATTGAAAGATCATAAAAACACAAGTGGAAAAGAGAGATAATGACATTCAAATGGTTGATTGTAATATAGCAACTGTCTAATTGCAAATATTCAAATGATTGTTTGTAAAATATCTGATGAATGCGAGTGAACAATATATTAGTGATTAGAAAAGGATAGCTAAATGATTGTAAGAAAATAGTTGGAGAATCGTAAAAACACAAAGTGAGGGATTGTATAACAAAAGAGATGATGACATTTGGATGAATGAAATGTAACAGCTGCTAATTGTGAAAATTTAGATGGTTATTTATTAAAAAATACATGAAACAACTGACAAATGCATGAGTAAACGTCAGTGATTGTAAAGACAACTAGATGCTTGTAATAAAACAATTTAATGATTATAAAAATGCAGGTAAGTGATTGTAAGAAACCAGTGATTATAGAAAACAACTAAGTGATTGTAATAAAACGAAAAGTTAGGTTATGTAATAAAACAAATTAAGCGTGATGTTGGTAGTAGATGTTGATTGAAAGAAAACAAATATGTGATTGTAAAAAAAATTATATGATTGTAGAAAACAAATACCTTGTCAATATAGATGGGTGCTTGTCAAAATATAATAGGTACTTCTAAATAATTCATGAAAATGTTTCTAAACAAATAGAACAAACTTAGAAAACCCATGAAGTTTGACATTGAAGTTGAATGTTAACATAAATAATGCTGACTTTGATTTGTTCGATATTCATGATCAATACTCACGAACAAAATCATCACTTACATTAAGCTAGAAACCGCATCCAATCCAATGGTCAACAATGATGGTTTGCTGGGTTGGTTACTGATGCTCGACCACTGGTGCTAAGAAAGCAAAGGTGTGCTCAATTAGTCATCATATGCTTGGTGGTAGGTGGGCATAAGCTTGATGGTCACAAGCTCAATAGTTAGTTGGCCGATGTTGGCCCGCTCGGTCGATCGATGACTTGGGTGGGAGGGAGAAGTCAAAAGTTTAAGGGAGAAAGGAAGGAGAAGTAAGGTCATTTTGGATATAGAAATTATCACAAGTGGATAATTTTTTGCTTTTGGCTTTTTTTGGAATTATTTTTCTCTTTTGGTCCTCTTGGTATTTTTTTAATTTTCCTTTTTGGAATTTTCTCAAAAAATAGCAAAATAGAAAGTTAAATACATTATTAAAAAAATTAGGGAGAGGTGAAAATTAGAGTGAAAAGATTTTAGAAAGGGAAAAAAGTAAAAATTAGATAGAAATTTTAAATAGAGAAAGTAACAAAAATTTAGAGAGAGAAATTTTAAAAAAATTAAAAATAAATTCTAAAGCATAAAATTTTAGTAACTTAAAAGCTTAAACTTACTAAAAATCTCCTAGATATATGAAAATATGCACACACAAAAAAAGAAAAAAAAAAACTGAATCCTTTTCTTTGGTGCTCCTTCTGATTCCAATTTAACTTATGTGCAAATTCCACTAAAACGTAAGCAGAAACACGAACTTTAGGGATATTAAGGACTTTTAGGTAATTCATTCCCTCTTTTTGTCTACCCATATTGTGTCGAAGCGTCGGCTAAATCCTGCGGGTAGTCCTTTATAATACCTCCCTCCGTCTAACCTGTAGCTTTCCCGCCACCTCCGACTTCAGCCGCAAGATGTTGTGGGTGGACAAGTACCGACCAAAAACCCTAGACAAGGTCATAGTGCACGAGGATGTAGCCCAAAATCTCAAGAAACTGGTATGCTTACTGTATTTTCTTCTTCTTATCGCTGGTATCTTTGATTATAAGCACTGGTGTTTGCTAAATTTGGGAATCTGGAATATTTCTTTCCGTGGAATTCTTTTGTCGTGTAGGTCGCAGAGCAAGATTGCCCCCATTTATTGTTCTATGGCCCGCCTGGTTCGGGCAAGAAAACCCTAATCATGGCCTTACTCAGACAGATGTTCGGGCCTGGTGCAGAAAAGGTCTCGGTCTTTCGTTAGAGTTTTCTTTGCATTCCTTCGCTCTGGTTTATTAGTAATGTCGATTCTTGTCATGATTCACTTTATTTATAATCATTTATTGAATGTACCATTTGCAGGTGAAGGTAGAGAACAAGACATGGAAAATCGATGTAAGTTTTAGGTTTTCGATGTTATAGACTTGAAAAGAAGTAGCCATTTTTCTTTTCCCCTTAATCTGTTACGGGTCTGGAATTTGTTATTTTAGGCATGATATCTTTCAAGCCCTGTATTATTTTCTGACTGAAGGATTATATTTCGTCCCTATGATTTTTTCTTTTTTTTTTTTGGTCACAACAGACATTGATATCTTTTTTTTATTCAGGGGATTACTTGAAATCCACATGTTTCACCTTTTTCTCCCTTTTGGCCCAAGTTGTGCTGATTTTCTTAATTTGATCTTAACAAATATATTGTCTAGGAAACAAAATGTAAGCAAATTTTAATTGTAATGAAAGCTTTAGGATAAATCAATGCAGTTGTGGGGGAATCAATGCAAGGACGTGAATTCAAATCCTGAATTTTATAAAAATGGCTCTGGTTCTGTGTCTGTCTAGCATTAGCGATGCCAGGCATCTTGCTATAATATCTATCTTGAGTTGCTATCTTCCATTTCCAGGCTGGAACTAGAACTATCGATCTGGAGCTTACAACTTTAGCAAGCACATATCACGTGGAACTAAATCCTAGTGATGCAGGGTTTCAGGATAGATATATTGTCCAAGAGATTATAAAAGAAATGGCAAAGAACAGACCAGTTGACACAAAAGGGAAGAAATGCTTTAAAGGTAACTTTACATCTAATTTATGATTCTTTTCATTATGTTCAAGGTTGATAGTATTATAAAGTACACCACGTATATGAGTAACCGTGCAGTCATATTTTTTAGCGGCAGTTCTCTCAGAAACTCTCTCCTCCTTATCATTCCTTGTTCTTGTTCCCCCTCCCCTCCTTTTGTTGGGGGAGGGTGGTGGTTGGGGACTGGGAGTTGACTGCTTGTTATGTGACTGCCTGATTACATCTGTAGAGTAGCCAAGGGAAAACCTTGCACATGCAGGCATTCTTGGTTTGCTTATTTGTTAACTTTCCTCCGTTAATGTCATGTCACCCTGCAATTTAGTGCTGGTGCTTAATGAGGTTGACAAACTCTCAAGAGAAGCTCAGCATTCTCTTCGGCGAACAATGGAGAAATACAGTGCATCATGCCGCCTAATTCTATGTTGCAACAGCTCATCAAAGGTTACTGAAGCAGTACGTTCTCGATGTCTTAACGTCCGGATAAATGCACCAACTGAGGAACAGGTTTGAAGATTTATATGCTATGCATAAGTGGTTGGGGAACAGTTACATTACATGGCCAGTTATGCTATATGCACATATTTATGGTTACAAATCATTTAAGAAAGTGCACGGAAAATATTGTTTTGCCTATTTTAGTTTTGTCCTTTGCATGCTTTTGTACTTTGTTTTCTTTTAGGCATGTGCATTTGATGCAAGAATAGTTTTTCCTACTGTTGGAGACTGCTTATTTGAAGATTTTTGTTCTGGTCATGTTAGGTGTTGTTCAAAAGGATCTAGTAAGAATCTGAAATTAATGAATTTTATTTTAATTAGAACATATCTAATAAGGGTGTGAGATATTATATTCTGATACATGTCTGACAGGCAAAATAGCCTTCTTGAAATGTTTGTGGGCATTCATGCTTTAAGCGAAGAAGTCTTTATTTGAATCTCCTTTTTTTCAAGAATAAAAAAGTAGTAAATAGATTGACTAAATAAAAGGTCAAATTGAATGATATAGAGACTGCTTTGGTTTTAGGACTCACAGCTTGAATTGCAGAATCACCTTGTAGCATAAGATTTTAACATGTTAAAAGTGATTATGATTTGTTCTTCTCATCAACAAACACTGAAAACCACATGCTCTGTTAGTAGAAAGCTATTGCTTCTTGGGCCTTTTTGTTCTCTTTGCTTTTCTAGTGGAATTTTATGGTCTCCAGGCTTGCATTTTAGTGAATGTGTCTTATGTATTCTCCCTTTCTGAAAATTATGGTAACTTTCTCCCAAGCCATACTGCCATAGACAAAAGTCAAAAAAAGTACCAAATATATCTTCTTGTATTGTGTGCATCTGGATTATGTTGCAGAAGTTTTTGCACTTAGATGTTGTGGCTGGCATCACAAGTTTGTCTGAAGTAATCCATTTATTTCATCTTTGCTGTGTTGATATGCAAGCCAATAATAGATTAGTCTTGTTAACCAGCTGCCACTAAATTGCTTTTGGTAAGCATTCAACTTATAATTGATATCAGAAATATTTAAAAGGTTTGATTTTGTGCTCATTGAATAATTTCTTTAGAAATTCTTTGTGTTAGATTGTCAAAGTGTTAGAGTTCATTGGCAAGAAAGAAGGGCTGCAGCTTCCATCTGGGTTTTCTGCCCGCATAGCAGAAAAGTCAAATCGGAGTTTAAGGAGGGCTATTTTGGCATTTGAGACTTGCCGTGTTCAACAGTTAAGCTCTGTTATACCTCTATTACTACCTGACAATTTCAAGCAACTTTTGGCTCTATTGTTTTCTCACTATTTTGAAGGTTTAATTCCCCCTCCTTTCACTGTTCCTAATAACCATGCTTTTCCTCTATTTTTTAATATGGCCATAGATATCCTTTTGCAACCAACCAAACCATACCTCCAATGGACTGGGAGGAGTATGTTTCTGAGATAGCATCAGACATAATGAAGGAGCAAAGCCCTAAAAGGTTGTTCTCTTATGCTTTTACTTGGATACTCGGTTATTTAATCTTCTGTTTTCCTTGTCAATTGGATACACATTATAGATATGTGTATTACATGAACTATATACTATGTAGCAGAGGGACTAAGACAGGTTATTTTCTTTTCCTTTTTCCCCCTTTTGGTTAGGCTTAAGCATGGGACCTGTGGGACTCAGGGATGCATCTTGTGCATGCCTTGAATATGTTGACATATCATCAAAAGAGCACAGTATTATCTTTTCTGTTCCTCAGATCTGTGGGTGGTTAGGAGAGGAGCTAAGTGTGACGGCCCACCTTGCCTAACCCAGGCTAACTCACGGCTTTGGCAAGCGGCACCCATACGGCAACCCGCAAAAACCAACGGCTAACTCTCTCTTGAAACAGCCCGTCGGCTCTCTGCTCATTTCAACCTCTCTTTCCGGGTTCCCTCACCTCTCTCTCTCTCTCTCTGGGTTTGTCAGCAGAAGCAATGAAAATAGAATACAGAAAGCAGAATGGAAACCGAATGCAAAACGGAGAACAGAAAACAAAGAGAGTAAGCGACAGCGGGAACCTGCGGGTTTCCAATTTTCAATTAGTTGTCAAGAACCTCTCTCGTACCCGACTGCTATACAATTTATATATATATAGGGAGGTGGCGAGCTCCGCTGTACACTTGACATGCCCTTAAAATGTTTAAATTACAGTGCACAGTGTGCCGTCTTGATACAATTGATTTACAAGTGAGGGGAAAGCTCCAGCCAATCATCATCAAGCTGAAAAAGTCAAATCCTCTTTGCACTTGATTAAGGCTTGGGAAGTCCCGTAGCATTTAATGCTCCCACGTCTCTTTGCATGGAGTTTTTCCCGCCTGGAGCATTTTCCATGCAATTCTGCAAGTTGGACAACTTTTTCAGGAACCACTGGTTCCATTTGAACTAGAAATTGTTGACAGCTGAATATGGGTCACAACCTGTAGGATTTGGGCCAGCAAACAGGCGGGTTGGGACAAATTATTCTGTCCCATCCTGCACCATTCTTCTGAACACATCTGTCCGCCAGGATGCCTTCCGTAGGCAGCTTTGCCCATAGGAACCCGGCTTGGGTTTGCCCGGTTTGGGTCCTCTTTGTCTCATCATGTCACAACTAGCTTGTGGGGATGGGTCATCGGGGTCTGAAAATTGACCCATAATATTCTCCCCCAGCTGTTCCGTCGACACCCTCGTCGACATCGGAGAATTCGACCTCTCCATTTCCTACTTGGCTTCCCCGCTTTTTGCCTCGGCCTTCCCGCATGCTTTAGTTGCCGTCCATCGCAGCTAAGGACTCCCTGTTCTGCATACAGGCTCCCTACAGCCTTCGACTTGGAAAACTTTTTAGCATACTCGGCTTCTCAGCCTGAGAATGCTCCTGGCCGCCTGCTTCCCCTTGCAGCAGCCTGCTTTCCCCAAACCAAGGCTGGAAGTTCCCTCCGTAAATTCTGCAAGTTGCTGGGAGTCCTGCGTCCTCTGCTGGCCTCTCTTAACTCGATCAAACACAGCAGCTCCTCTACCTGGCAACTGGTCGGACCCAGCCTTCAGCGTGCCTGATGCTGCTACGGAACCAGAACTCCTGGTCTCGGCCGCATGGTGGCTCCCTTGCCCTTGGGTCATCTGCTCTGCCACCATCCTGCCCATTCCACGAGCTTCCTGCTTGGCCACCCTCTCCTGGTCAAGCTCTCTCACTTCCCTGTCAAGCGGCTGTTCCGACCCAGCCACCTTCTTCACAAAACAGAGCATCGACGTGCTCTTGAGTGTGGCCCACGACTTACTGCCTTCGGCTGTTACTGCGCCTTTGAGCTGCAGTTTCTTGGGCGACTCAGCCTGTGCAGGCTGATCGCAAACAGGTGCAGCAGCAAGGAGTTTTATCCATGCTCTGTTTGCCCCTGTTTTTCGCCCAACGTCCCCTACCTCACTGGACAGCGAACAGCGGCACACCGCGACAACTTCTCTGTCACCCAAAGTGCCTCCCTTGGCTTCTTCATCCCTCAAAAACAGCCTCCTTCCCTTGGTTGTGGACCCCCTTTCCTCCGGAAGTCCTAAGGGTGACACCATCTGTCATGCACCGCAGGAAAGTCGTCTTCCTATTTGGCTGCTTTCTTCCACTTCTTGGTCGGACAAAGGCCCACCTGGTCTTCGGTTTCATTTGCTGGCAGGGCCTGGCTCCCCTAGCTGATCCTTTGCCAGTTTTCCGTTGAAGATGCCCCCAGCACTCGGCTGGGAACCTTTGTCAACTTTGCCTCTACTCGGGCGAGATACATGCTGCTTGCCTTCCGTCCCTAGTCTCAGTCAACCCAAGGTTCCAGTTACCCATGATGCTGCGGAGACAACTCCCTCTTCAGCTTTCTGTTCCCCCTTTGTGGTCAACCCGCCTCCAAGCCTGTCCGAACATGAGTGTAGATTGGCCGCCTCCTTGATGGTCCCTTTCCTCTCCCGGAGAGTGGGTGGGCCTCCTGCAACACCCCGGCTTTCAACCACCTCGCTGTCTAACTCGGTCCGTTGAGCCTGGTCCAGGTTGGCCTCACTTCCCAGCTCACTGTCCTTCGCCTTGGTTGGCTGGTCCTTCCTGCAGTTGATTCCGGCAACTTTTGAAAGAATTTGAATCTTGTTACTGTTGAACTAAAAGTTGACCCAGTCAACTTCTTTTGAAACAAAGCAAATCATTGGGCTCCCGGTTACACCTTGCGGCTTAGTGAACTCAGCTGTTGTTACGCCTGGGAGTTGCTGTGCCTTGGGCGATACGGCACGCCCAATCTGATTGCCAATGGGCTCAGTAGCAGACGGCTCTGCCAGTGCTCTGTTCACCCATTTTTTCATCAGGTTGCTTTGTTTTGGCGGACAGAGCAACAGGGCCCAACAGTTAACTGTTCTTTGCCCGAACTGATTTCTGCAGCATCCTCCAGCTTCAACACAGCCAGGAAGGTCATCTCACCCTTCCACAACCCTCGGTTTCGCTGAACCGCAGACAGTGTCTTGCTGCCTTGCATTTGTTGGACAGCGACATCCTCTTCGGCTTTCTGTTCCCTGCTTTCTCTCAGGACCAACCCGCCTCTGAGGTCTGCTGAGCATGGGTGAAGGTTGGCTGACACTGCAATCGCCTCCTTCCTCTCCCGGAGAGTGGAGGTGCGTTCTCCACCATCCTGGATCCTGACCACCCTCCTGTCCAGCTCAATCCGTTGAGCCTGGCCCAAGGTCGCCTTCCTTCCTGCCTCACTGCCCATTTCCTTGGCCAACTGGCCATCCCTGCAGGTGACTCCGAAACATTTGCTCCCATACCTGGATGCTAACTTGGGCTTCTTGGGACACTCACGGGCGGCAGTGGTCCAATGCAAAGATAACACCCGAGAACATGATCTCCCTTCTGCCATCTGCCTGGAACTCACCTCCCTTTGACAGAGTCACAGTTCCAAGGGCTCCCAGCTGTGAGAAAGAACCAGCTGTGCCACCTGCAATGTACTGGGCTCTCCTAGTCGTCCCACCCGTCTCAGTCTGTCGAGACTGGGTCACGGGCAGCTCCTCTTTTTCCCACCCCACAGGCTGCCTTGGCATCCTGAACCCCCTTTTCTATAGAGCCGGCATCACCTTTTCTCGGGCCAAGCACATACTGCTTGCCCTCCGTCCTGGTTCTGCATGGTCAAAGGGTCCACCTATTCGAACAGCCACCAAGGGAGTTCGCTGAACTTCCTGTTGCTTGCCAACGTCGCCTCCACTTGGGCGAAGCTCCTCCAGGTCGCCGTCCTTCCCAGGTTCAGCTCGGCTCCCTAACACCACAACACTCTGCCCTTGTTTCTTATTCGGCCAGCCCACCTCACACTGCAGACCCACTCCTACCTCACCTCCCATTGAGAGTCTTGGCTCCAAGGTCCCTCTGTTGTGTCAAGGCACTAACAGTTCCGCCAACGTGGTCCTTTACCCTCCCCGAGGTTCGGAACTACTCCAACAGCATCCTGGACACCACCAGACACCCTCTCCCGCTCAGCCCATCGAGCTCAAAGTGACGGCAACTGCCTCAACCCTTCCAACACACTGAGTCCTTAGGCAGCCGGGAACTCCCACAAACACAGTTTGCACCACTGGACATGGTGAAGCATTGTCGGTAGGGTGATGAATCAAAATAGAGCACACTCAAGGCAGAGAAACAGAGCACCCAACCTGCTCTGATACCAACTATGACAGCCCGCCTTGCCTAACCCTGGCTAACTCGCGGCTTTGGCAAGCGGCACCCGTCTGGCAACCCGCAAAAACAAACGGCTAACTCTCTCTTGAAACATCCCATCGACTCTCTGTTGGTTTCAGCCTCTCTCATTGGGTTCCTTACTTCTCTCTCTCTCTCTCTCTCTCTCTGTGGGTTTTTCAGCAGAAGCAATGAAAATAGAATACAGAAACAGAATGGAAACTGAATGCAAAACGGAGAACAGAAAACAAAGAGAGTAAGCGATGGCGGGAACTGTGGGTTTCCAATTTTCAATTAGTTGTCGAGAACCTCTCTCATACCCGACAGCTATTAAAATTACAGGGGAGGTGGCAAGCTCCCTGTACACTGACACACTCATAAATGTTTAAATTACAGTGTACAATGTGCCGTGTTGATACAATTGATCTACAAGTGAAAGGAAAGCTCCGGCCAATCATCATCAAGTTGGAAAAGTCAAATCCTCTTTGCACTTGATTAAGGCTTGGGAAGTCCCATAGTATTTAATTCTTCCACGTCTCTCTGCATGGAGTTTTTCCCACCTGAGCATTTTCCATGCAATTCTGCAAGTCGGACAACTTTTTCAGGAACCACTGGTTCCATCCGAACTGGAAATTGTTGACAGCTGAATATGGGTCACAAACCATAGGATTTGGGCCAGCAAACAGGCAGGTTGGGACAAATTGTTCTGTCCCGTCCTGCACCATTTCTTCCGAGCACATCTCTCCGCCAGGATGCCTTCGCCTGCCTTCCGTTGGCAGCTTTGCCCATAGGAACCCGGCTTGGGTTTGCCCGGTCAGGGTCCTTCTTGTGTCGCCGTGTCGGACTAGCTTGTGGGAAAAGGTCATCAGGGTCCGAAAATCAACCCATAACACAAGTGTGAGCTGTGCAAAGAAGAGAAGGCTTTTCTTTTAGTGGAGCAACAGCTACCTAAGTGAGGGTTTATTTGGGTAACAACCATAAGAGCATGGAGTTTTTTGTAGTCTCAGTGTGCAAGTCCGTGGCAGTAGACATGGGTTTAAATATTTTAGTGTAAAATGGAATATAGCCATTTTTATCACTTCTATGAATCAGATGTTATTGCATTTTTTGGTAAGAAATAAGTAATAAAGTTGCCTCTCTCTTCATGCTTAAGCTTGTAGATTATATGCTGGTCAATTATTTAATATGTTATCAAATCAGGTAAAAGGTTGAGAATTTGGATTTAGTTTCCTGTAAGTTTAAAATTTCCACATGTTGTTCCATTTATGAATAAGAATTGTTTGGCCACCCGTGAGAGGTTATGTTAAAAAATAACTAATAAAATTACTTCTCTCTATGCAATTTTATGCTTTTAGTTGAGGTGGTGATCAGTAGTTTTACAGTTGAGTGATATATAAAAACTTGCGCATTTTAAGGCCTAGCCTTAGCTGCTTTTCATGATATTACTATGTAGCCTATACATGTCCAATATAGTTTCCATGAATAAAAGTTTTCTTAGGGTGACTATAGGCCCATATATTGGGAGGTGTGACAAACTCTCTTTGTTTATCTTAGATTCATGGGGATTTCTAGCAATAATGCTAATTCTGATACGTGACGAAAGTATTTCTTTTGGTCTTTTGAAATATATAGCACTTCAGTTCCCACCATTGTGTGGGATTCCTTTTTTGACATTGTGAAATCAATTATGTGCATCTTTACTTCTACCCTTTTTGGTTGTAGTATATCCACTGGATTATTCTTTTCCTTCCAGCTGGTCAGGTACAAGATTTTAATTGTATTCTATTGCTGACTTCTTATAATGCTGCAGGCTTTTTCAGGTTCGTGGGAAGGTATATGAACTACTTGTTAATTGCATTCCTCCTGAGATTATACTGAAGGTCAGGAGATCTGCTTTCCTTTTGTTTTCCTTAAAATATTCTGCTTGAACTTGATGCGACTCTTTTTATCTTGTTTTCAGAGGCTACTCTTTGAACTTCTGAAGAAATTAGATGCAGAGTTAAAGCATGAAGTGTGCCATTGGGCTGCTTATTATGTAAGTTCAGTGGAATATACTGATATGTGCTTTTTCATTTTTGTTAGTCATAATTAGGTCAGATCATATACCAGAAAGATAATTTCAGAGTTTTACAAAGGTATGATACTTCCATTCTAAAATAGTGAATTTAGTGATGCAACGTAATCCCAAACCAATTTTTCTATTTATTTATTTATTAACTTAGAAGGAGTAAATCCTCTATGATGAACTAGACTCCAAGAACCTTTTGCATGACAAATGTAAATGGGAAAAAATAAATAAATGCCATGGTAGTGCTATAAATTTGCTTATGAGATGAGTACAAAAAATGAAATTTTTTGTGAAAGTTAATTGGGCATTTTTTATGTGAAGTTTTGGGTATGAAAATGGGGTTTAACGGCCAGTCTTTGAAGATATTGGCAACCTACTATTGGTTGTTTGTGATGATGAATTAGTTTTATGCAGTGACATAATCATGCTTTTTTTTACATGGTTACAGGAACATAGGATGCGCCTTGGCCAGAAAGCTATCTTTCACATCGAAGGTAGGATTAAACTTAGCACTGGACATTTGCAGTTCTATGTTCTTATTTTGCCTGGTTCCGGTATCATGATTCATATCATTTTAATGCTTTTGGAAAAACTTGTCACTGGGCATATTCATTGTTAATATGATGGGACTAAAATGTACCAGTATCATCTTTGCTGATGGTATTCTAACAAGAATTAGTTTTGATTCTCTGTGAGTTTTGTACTATTATCTCAAGGGCACTCTTCCGAGTTTGAGATGGGAAATTTCATCCTGGTTATTTCTTTTGGAAAAAAAAAGTTAATTTCAAAATATAATTCAATTTGCAACTTATTGTTAAAGTTTTGGTATTTCCATTTTTGGCATCCACTTCTTGGTTCAGGGATGGATCTAGTGTTATCTTCTAATTATTATTATTTTATGGGAGCCAAATAGTTAAATAAAAATTTGCCATCAAACTAGCATAAGGTGGGCAAATTAACTTAACTGGCTGAATTATACCAGTGGTTTCCCATTTAACTCTTATCAAAAAAATAATTTTGTGAATGAAGAATGTGGTAACATCTTTTAAACAAAATAGGCAGGCACACTCAAATTATTTAATCAATCAAAATTAGACAATTAACATTCCAAACAAGTGTGCGCGCACACACACACAATGGAGAAAGGTGGAACTAGATGACCGGTTAAATTTATTTACTATTATTCATATATTCTTTTTTTAATTGATGGGTGGGGGGACCGAGCCCTTGCACCCAATTGTATCCACCATGCATAAGTCAATATGAAATTGTGAATTATGTTGTGTTATTTCCTTCCACTGGTTGATATCGTATCATCTACTCTCTTGCATCCGATTTTATCTTGTCTGAAGATTTGCTTGTCATATTCATGATGTATTGATGTTATTTGTACTCTTTGACATATGCAACAACTGAAAGGTTTCTGAAATGTTTTTATAAATTATGTTGATGTAACAAGGCGTTGGTCTATTAATCCACATAATGTTCTAAACTCAGGAACACGGTTTGGCCTGAACATTTTTTTGGGTAATACCTGTTTCAATTGTGTGGGCCGGCTTTCTGATCGTAATCATCTTGTTGTTGTTGCAGCATTTGTAGCTAAGTTCATGAGCATTTACAAGAGTTTCTTAATTGCAACATTCGGTTGAAGTCTGGCAAGTTATAACGAGTAGAATTTGCTTCGCATCCAATCATGGGGTTGGCTAGGCGGTCCTTGTCTTATTGAACATATTATTCTTCTGTAAGTAGAGTACTGTAGTTTATGACATCAAGGACTTCGCCTGGAAGCTGTAAAAGATACATGTTATATTATTTTTGAAGTTTTGCCTTTAGTTATCTAGTAAGGTGGACATGTTTTCTTAAGTTCAAGTAGATGGGGGTGGACGTATCTTTCCCGTCTCCTTATTTTTAGTAGTGAGCCCTGAGGGCAATCATATGGTGCCTATTTTAAAGGATCATACCAATTCGTGTTGTACATCTGCGGAGAAAGCTAGTACCAGTAGAAGACGAGAAAGGTAAAGGATTAACTTTATCGATTTTCTTTAAACTATGACTTAATTATTAGTTAAAACCCTCAACTAAAAAACATAATTTATTCTCTTGGATTATAGTGAGATGTTGGGTTAGCCGTTTAAATTTTGCTAACATCGATGGGATGTGAGTCAATTTTGCTGACATCAATGAGAAGTGAGTTGCCTTGGACAAACATTGAACAATTATTTTTTTTGGATAAAAATACCCCTCCCTGTTTTATAATTTTAAGCTCTATTTGAATTCAGTTCTCGTACCATACGACTTCTATGCCAAATGAATCCTTGCAACAATCAAAATTTTCTCCTTTCAATGGAGCTCCACGCGTTTTAAAAGCCTCAAATAAGTGTTATTGAACATTTGAACTTGTGCACAATCGGCTGCATCCAAATTGCTAGAGATGGTAAAGGGAAGAAAACCTAAAAGTCTACTTCCATCTGCACATCCATTTACTCAATTAGTTTGAAAATTCTACTGCCGTTATCCATCTAATAGAAGTCACAAACAAGACGTACACTAACCTCCTACTTTGACCTCCCCAAGCAATGGCGAAAAAGAACAGCAAGCAAGAGGCACATCGTGAAACTGGCCGCCGTCGGGGCCAATTGGACCAAGCCACTTAGGAAGAAGATAGAACCTTTTCCTCGTTCTCTGTAAACCAGCGGAATGGACCAAGCTGGGTTTGCTGTCCTGCGGGTTGGACAGCTACCAAACCTCTCTCTCTCTCTCTCTCTCTCTCTCTGCGCGCGCGCGCGTAAACCAGAGGAGAGCTTGTTGATTACTGCTTCAATTCACAGAAAAATTTAGTAAAGCACCAAAGAGTAAAGATGCATTTCCCTTCCCTAATAGTAATAGAAACCCATAATTTACTAAAATTTCTTTAATACAAAATCATATAACACGAGACAGAAGAAGCCTTCCATTCGAACTCTAATTTTTCCAAGGAAATCCGCAGAATCCAAGAAACCACGAGAAAGAAAATCTGTAACTTCCTATTCGCGTCCTCAAACGCCGACACGGGAACGAGCAGGACAACCCGGCGCGGGTGCCAAAGGTGATCGTGCAAGAGGCAGGGTTGTCGATGTGGATCTCGAAGAGAGAAACCTAGATCAGGAACTCCTTGCTCTTAACCCCTGTGAGCTGCCGCGTGAGGCAGCCCTCAGCAAAGCTTCGGATCCATCAGTCAGTCACAAAGACCCTGTTGTTTTCTCTATTTGCTACAATTTCATCGTTTGAAGCTTTTGATCTTCAGCTACAGGCAGCTCAAGCCGTTAGACGACGCCATGAAAATTACAGATTGGAAGTTCAGTCTCTCAGTTTAGGGTTTCTTATAGCTTCTTCCGAGATTTTGTCAGTTTAGCACTTTATTTTTTGGAATAATTACTTTAAAAAGTAAATTAAATAAAAGTATTTATCTTTAAGCTTAAAAGTAAAAATAATTTTAAAAAAAATTCATACCTTAAAAATTATTCAGTTAAGGTGATTTGTATATCTAAAATATTTTTCAATTTCAAATGTGTCGGTGACAAAACAAATCAGTGATTGTAACAGATGAGCGCTTGTAAAATAATGGATGAAAGCTTGTAAACAGACAGATTATAGTTTGTAAAAAAAATACGGTTTCGATTCTCTTTAATTTTGAGTATGTTCCAGTTATAATTTGATTAAAGTCAAAGTATGAAAGTTGTAACTCATTCTCTTATCTTTCCAAGAAATTTTGAATCATCCCACTCCGAGTTTCCTAGCTCCAGATATGAATTTTTTACCAAAACTAGTCTTGCAAAGTACTATTTCTATTAAAAATTTTTACAACAATAACAATTTCGGTAAAAAATTGATATCTCCAGTTAGGAAACTCAGATTGGGGTAATTCAAAATTCGTTGAAAAGTTAAGAGACGCAGCTATAACTTTTATGTTTTGACTTTAATCTAATTATGTCCAGACATACCCAAAATTAAGGAACAGATTGAGTCCTGTAACGAGACGGGTTCTCATCTGTAAAAAAACATATTGAGGACCGTAACAAGACATATTTCCGTATGTAAAATAACAGATGGGGCTTGTAATAACGAAACAGGTTCCCGTCTATAAAATAACATATGGATGTTTGTAACTAGACAGGTTCCCGTCTGTAAAATAACGGATGAGGCCTTGTAAACAGACAGAATGCAGTTTGTAAAAAAAAACATAGTTCCGGTTCTCATTAATTTCGAATGTGTTCCAATCATAATTTGGTTAAAGTCCAAACATGAAAGTTGTAGCCCATTCTCTTAGCTTTTCAAGAAATTTTGAATTGTCCCAATCCGAGTTTCCTAGCTCTAGATATGAATTTTTTACCGAAACTGGTGCTGCAAAGTACTGTTTCTATTAAAAAATTTTCTAACAACAACAGTTTCGGTAAAAAATTGATATCTCCATATACGAAGTTCAGATTGGCATGATTCAAAATTCATTGGAAAGCTAAGAGACAGGGCTACAACTTTTGTGTTTTGACATTAATCTAATTATGCCCAGAACTGCCCTGAAATTAAGGAACAGATGGAGTCCTGTAACGAGATGGGTTCTCGTCCGTAAAAAAACATATTGAGGCCCGTAACATGACATATTCCCGTATGTAAAATAACAGATGGGGCTTGTAACAATGAAACAGGTTTCCGTCTGTAAAATAGCATATGGATGTTTGTAACTAGACAGGTTCCCATCTGTAAAATAACGGATGAGTGCTTGTAAACAAACAGAATGCAGTTTGTAAAAAAAAATACAGTTTGGTTCTCTTTAATTTCAAGTGTGTTCCAATCATAATTTGATACAAGTCAAAACATGAAAGTTGTAGCCCATTCTCATAGCTTTCCAAAGAATTTTAATCGTCCCAATCCGAGTTCCCTAGCTCCCGATATGAATTTTTTAACGAAACTGGTGCTGCAAAGTACTGTTTCTATTAAAAAATTTTACAACAAGAATAGTTTCGGTAAAAAATTGATATCTCTAGCTAGGAAACTCGTATTGGCACGATTCAAAATTCGTTGGAAAGCTAAGAGATGGAGCTACAAATTTTGTGTATTCATTTTAATCTAATTATGCCCAGAACACACCCGAAATTAAGGAACAGATAAAGGCTAGTAACATGACAGGTTCCCATATG